ATTGTATCCCTATCAAGTATTTTAGTGAACCGCCAAGCCCCAGCTTTTTCTCTACTTGTGTGTCTGTCTTTTCTGCATCCCCTCATTGGCCCTAGTCTGGTACCTGAATTCACAGCCATGCAGGTCGTGACATGAAGTGCTCTCCAAAGGGCTTGTGTAGTTCTGCCCCTACGGCCTTGCTGGTTGTAGCTCACATGGCCTCTCTCTTGGTTTGTTTCTGCTTGATTTCTGCAGCTGTCTTCAGCAGATGTTCCATGTTACTGGCATCTTAATCCCTGGGGTCTCCACTGCAGCTTTGGCTTCCTTCTCACATCCTCACACATCACCCTCTCAAGGGTGGTCTGCAGGGATTCTGACCCTTCTACACTTGGACTGGCCTCCCAGGCCTTCCTTTGAAATTTCAGTGGAAGCCTCCATGACCCCCTAACTCCAGTATCCTGCATTCCTGCAGAACCAGCTCATCCCCAATGACTTACTTCCCTCCACTAGGCTCTGGGGGCATCTCAGAAACCTGCAAGTCTGTCTCACCATCAAAGTGGCTTCACCAGAAGCCTGCCAGAGCAGAGTGCTTTGGGGAAAGAGGCTCAGGGCTTTCTCTATGAACCTAGAGTCCAGGATCTCCCCAGAGTCCACGATCTCCCCAGAGTCCAGGTGCTCCCCTGGTCTCTGCTCCCTGCTTTCCCACACAGTGCTCTGTGGCTGCTCCAGCCATGGTTCAAGCAGACCCAGGTGAGGTTAGTGCCAGTGCAGCCCAAGGTTTTAATGATAAACGTGGGAACACAGGCTGAAGTTTGCTGCAAGGTGGGGGAGCCACAGAAAGCCGCACCACCACCCCCGGGGCAGTGCCTAGTGCAGCCATGGGAGTGGATCTGCCTCCAGATCTCGGACATGCAGAGCAGTCATCTCTGTGCAACAAGCAAAGAGGAAAGCCACAGACGTCACTGCACTGCCCAGGACAGCAGCCATGTGGGCTTGAACAGCAAAGCCAGGGGTGACAGGGCTGCCCAAGGCCCTTAGACACTGCCATCTGCACTGGGTGCCAATCAGGGAGCTTAAGGCTTGGAGTCTGCCCTGTGGATATTTGGTCTTGCTGGGCCTACGACCCTTTCACTTATTAATGTCCAGGAGCATTTTACTCTGTGCCTGTCCTGCCCTTGTTCTTGGAAGCTTGTAACTTTTCGGTTTTCCTTTTTGCTTTCAGAATTTAACCCAGTGCCTGTGTTTGCTGGGCCAGCTTTCCACCACTGATCTGCATCAGCTTGTAATTTATTTTATTGTATTTTGTTTTATATTGTACGGGGCCTCGAGGCTGGGAAGACTTTGCCTTGAGACTTGAAGAAGCAGAGGAGTCTGCAGGTAGGAATAAGCCCAGAAACACCCCAGCAGGGGAGCAGCTGATCTGCCTCCTGCCCACCTGGTTTCTACATGTACACTGATGACTTCATTTGACTTAGTGTTGCCACAGAAAATATTTTTAAGGTAGAAATTGATGCAGTGAAGAATACCCACACACTGAAAATCAGAGAGAATTTCACTCACCCCCATAGACGTCCTGGTTGTGTGAGGCTGCTGGGTGGAGGGAGAGACCCTCAGCTACCTGCAATAGCCGGGGCCCACCTTCCTGAAGGCCTCCTGTTTCTCAGGCTCTGTCCATGTTGTCTCTTCACAGAACAGCTCCCCCATGATGTCCCTTTTGTGGTCACCTCCTCCTAACCCCTGGAACCACAGCCTGTTCTCCATCTTTACAGCTTGGCCCACCCAGGAATATTCTCCAAGTGAATTACACTGTACATGACCTTCCATCAGGATTTGAGATCCTCTGATCCTCATTTACTGGGTTTTCCTTTGAGATCCTTGGGCTGCTGCACTCGTCTGTTGATGGACTTCTGCGGTGGTTCTAGTTTCCAATTATTAAAAATAAAACTGCTATGAATATTCACATACATTTTCATGGGAAGGTGTGTGTGTGTGTGTGTGTGTGTGTGTGTGTTTTGATTTTTTTTCTGTTTTGAGGGGCTTTTTGTTTGTTTGGCACCTGGGAATTAAACCTGGGGGCACTTAAGCACTGAGCCACATCCCCAGCCCTTTTTATTTTTTATTTTGAGACAGGTTCTTGCTAAGTTGCTGAGGCTGGCTTTGAACTTGCAACACTCCTGCCTCAGCTTCCTGAGCCACTAGGATTACAGGCATGTGCCACCACACCCAGCTGGGAAGATAAATTTTGCATGTCTGGGATGAATGACCAGGAGCATGAGCATCAGGGGATGTTGCAAGTTCATCTTTAATTCTATAAGAAGCTGTCAATATGTTTTTTAGAACACTGTACCATTCTGCATTTCCACCACCATTTCCCCCCCTTTCTAGTGGATGCAAGCTGGTCATTCATTGTGGCCTTATTTTTGGTCCTCTAAAGACTCACAATGTTGAATATTTTTCAAATGCTCATTTGCCACCTGAATATCCTCTTTGGTAAAGTGCTGCTCTCACCTTTACTGGGTTGTTCTTCCTGCTTAGTTTTAAGAGATTTTTGGATGCTTGTATATGCTAGATATATATTTCCCACATATTTGCATACTTGAGATGCAAGTCCCGTGTCAGATAGGGGATGGGCAAGTATTTTCCCAAAAAAGTTTTAAGTTTTGACAAAGTTCCATTGATCAGTATTTGCCTCTATGCTCTGTGTTTTAGGTGTCATGTCTCCAGGCCATAAATGTTTTCTCCAACATTTTCTTTTAGAAGATTCATAGTTTTACATTTCATAGTTGATACATTCTGATTTCAAGTTTATACAAACTATGAAGTCTAGTTAAATTATAGTTACCATACTACAATACTATGTTATATTATGCTATATCAATATTATAATACCATTATTATAGTTATACATGAGTGCTTCATTCCTCCACCATTACTCAGTGAGGAGACAAAGTTTCCTCTGCACTTTTGTCAAAAATCAAATGGTCCCAGGGCGTGGCAGTGCCCACCTATAATCCCAGAGACTGGGGAGGCTGAGGCAGAAGGATCGCAAGTTCAAAGGAAAACTCAGCAACTTAGCAAGGTCTTAAGCAACTTATCATAATCTTCTCTATATAAAAAAAACTAAAAGGGCTGGAGATATGGCTCAGTAGTTAAGCGCCCCTGGATTCAATCCCCCATAGCTAAAAAAAAAAATCAAGTGGCCATATAGGATGGGTCTATTTCTGGTTTATCATGTTCTACTGATCCTATGTCCATCTGTTTCCCAGTCGTTAACCCTGTCTTTTTGAGAGTGGCTTCACAGTAATTCTAAAAATCAGGGAGTGCAAGTCCTCGGATATTTTTCCTTTCCAACATATTCTGTTCTGGTTTGACTCACCTTTCTCTACACATTTTAGAATTCACTTGTTTGTATTTACCAATGTTCCTTCATTGGAGTTGTGCTAATCCATAGATCAATGTCATTCTCATCTACATCCATTTCAGGAGGTTGTCACAAGGAAGTCTCTCCCTGCCACCACACCAATGGGGCAGGTATGAGGGCTCAGCTGCAGGATGTAAACTGCCTGCCTGCGGCACAGAGTTGCCTAGGTGACAATAAAGTGTCCCATTACTCTCACTGCAGTCATGGGGACCCTTTGGTTTGAGTATCATCCTGTGCAAGGGACATGGGGAGCTGGCTCTGGGGTTCATCTTGCTTTCTCTGTCTTTGAAGTAATAGACTCTGACTCTACAGAGAGTGCGCTGGGTTTTACTGGCCCCAGAATCTATCAGCCTGGACTCTTGCTTGGCTGTAGGTTCCATGGGACTTTCCACACAGACACTTCAGTTAGAGATTGATTCTCCTGCTGATCGCCCTTATTATTTTCTTCTACAGTTAGTTTGTTCACTCAGGATTTCTTTCTCATGTGTCATGAACTTCTGGGTTGCCAGCTCAGAGTCATAAATGTGGCATCAGTTAATTATCTAAGATGGAAATAATCTGTTTTCCCAGAGCTGTTTTGTGTAATGAATATGTGGCAGTCACCTAAGGTGTTCTTTACAAGCAGGGGCAGGAGAAGGCGTGGTGAACCTGGCATCCTCACAGACACACCTGCAGAAGGAGGAGAGGGGGTGGGTCTTCATGTGTAGGCAGATCAATCAAGTACTACACACCCAGTTTACAGAGGAGGAACAGGAGCCTCCCTGATGTTACAAAGTGCTTCTGTGACTCTGATGCTTCTGCCTGATCCCTCCTTCACCCTCCCTTTCACTGTGACCCAGAGGAAGCCCCTGGAAAACAGAGTTGGGGAGAGGCGCAATGTCATACTATTCCAGGTCACACACATAAGAGTGATGGTGACAATAGAATAACAGCAAGAAACATGGATGGGGCATTTCTAGGACAAGGAATTGGGCAAATAGAGGTGCTGTCCTTCCTTGTGCTCTGTGAATCCAAGAGCTCTATCCTGACTCTGTCCCTTTTTTGTTCTCCCTGGCCTCTGCTCTTCCTCTACTCTAGGCTGAAACTTCATAATCCTCCCCAAATACTTGAAAAATCCTATACAGTTCAAATGGAGAAGTGGATTGAATTGCAGGTGAAGAGAGCCTTGAAACTTCCAGGGTGAGGAGCATGGGATCCTAGAAACAGCCAGTGGTTGGTGGGTGTCTGCACACAAAATGAGTTCCCCTGGCAGCACTGAAGAAAAGTCACTTGTCAGAGTCACAATTTTGAAAGGGTAGCATGTGGCAATCAATCTGAAAACAGATATGTGGATTAATATGCAGGACCTTGACCCAGCTCTTCCCACAAGGCACCGCCTCCGTTGCAACACAAGATGGATGGGCCCCCACTGGACTCCTCCCTAGGCATTTCACTACCCCTTTATAAGCCATAGCCCAAGGTCCCACATAGTTTCTCTGTTGCTCAGCCTCCTCCTGCTCTGCAGCCGAAGCAGAACCATGCTGCTCAGAATCTATGGTAAGGAGACTCCACCCCAAGTTGAGCCTAAGTGTTCTCTCAGCCCTTTGTTCCTCTGAACTCAGTTCTCTCCTCTATCTACTGCCCCTGTCATCTCTGACTGCAATGCAACCCTCTGTCCACCTGCAAATTTCAGAAGCCTCACTCTTCCCAGAGCCCTCCCTGCATTCCCTCACCTGCCAGCCCTGACCCCAGGACATAAAATCCACTCTGCCATTACCAGCAACCAAAGAAGCTCAGTGACATCACTCTGGGACCCTTGATCATGACCAGTTGGCTACACTCCCAGCATCACTTTCATTTCCCTTCTATTCTCAGTTTCTGTCTTCATTGTTCAACTCCTGAGGTCAGACGTGGAAGGAGTCACAGGTGAGGGTAGTGCAGTGAGGAGATTTTCACTGCCTGGGGGCAGGGAGGGGGAGGGCGTGTCCTACCCTGGCCCTTGAAGCCCACCCAGCTCTGACTCTTCCAGACACTGGCCCCTGGCTGTGCCAGCCAGCACCGAGGTGTGGGGACCAGCCCTACAACCCCTTGGAGCAGTGCTGTCACAATGACACCATCCTCCCACTGAATGCGACCCAGCTGTGTGTCCCCAACTGCATCTTCTATCCCTGCTTCCAGCACTGCTGCCTAGAGACCCAGAGTTCTCAGAATCAGGCAGTTGTGACATTCAAGGTCCCAGGCATGAAGCCTGACTGCAGGTTCTCCCCTGTCTCCAGGATTTGTGCCCAGGTAAGTCTGTGATTCTAGCCCAGGCTGGGGGAGGGGCAGCAGGGGACAGAGCTTGGTTGCAGTTTCTTTTGAGGCTCCATCTCCCATCTCTGGGTAACCATATGACTGTCCTTCAGTTCCATCTGTCTGTAACCCCCTGTCCCTCCCCCTGCCCCTCTGCTATCTCCCTTCCTCTTTCTGCAGCGACACCACCCGACCAGCCCTCAGCCAGATCTGACTTCATCTAGACCATCCTGGGGAGTGGAATCTGGTATCTAGTCAACTGTATGCTGAGGTTTTTAATTATTGCTATGGTCTGAGTGAGTCCCCAGGCTCCTGGGGTGGAATCTTAATCCTGCAATGCTGGAGTGACTCTTAGAGATGGAGACGATTGGCAGTAAGTGGGAGGGTTGACATCAGGGGAACGGAGCCATCATGAATATCTTAGTGCCCTTTGGAAGGAGTGAGTTCTCATTTTCACCAGATTCTTTACCTTGAGACTGGGTTGTTATAAAGCAAGGCTGTTCCTCTTGCTCTTTCTATTGTGAATGCACCCACTTGCCCTTCCACTTTCCACAGGGAGTTGAGGTAGCATGTGGCCCTCACCAGATGTTGCTGTGTGATTTTGGACTTTCCAGACTCCAGAACCATGAACCAGAATAAACTTTTTTCCTTATAAATTACCCAATCTCAGGCATTTTATTATATCAATAGAAAACAGAACAAGACAACTATGTTACTTCTTATGCCCTTAAATTTCCTATAAGCTGAAAACAGAAAGCATGTGTTTTTTAAAATGGTATTGGCTTGTTCATAGATGTTTTATTAAGCTGAAAAATTCTAGAAACAAAACTTAATTTATTGAAACTAAACTATTCTTTTATTTCCTTTTTGGGAATCCCCACTGGTGGTGCCATATAAGCACTTAATCATGACTTTTAAGTAAGCAGATATTAGGTTCGTAGAGAAAATTTTGACGGACAGAGGGGTTTAGTTAGTGAATTATCTACATCTTCAATTCAGGGTCCCCCAGAAAATCAATCCCAGATCTACCTTAAAAGGAGAAGTTACCTGGAGCCTTACCATTTGCTGGTCCTTGCAGCCTGTCTTGGTCCATTTTGGGCTGATATAACAAAATACCTGAGACTGGGTACATTATAAAGAAAAGAGCATTTTAGCTCACAGTTTTGGAGGCTGAAAGTCCAGCCCATCTGCTCAGCCTTTGCTGAGGTCTTCTGGCTCACTGTGGTGGATGACATCACAGATGGAGCATGGGCAAGGGTAGTTAGTGGTGTGTGCAGAAGAGAGAGGTCACATGAGGAGAGAGGAAGCAAGAGAGCAAGACCAGAGAGCTGAACCTGGTTTATATCAACCCACTCCATGGGGAGCCAACCCAGTCCCAGGATACCTAAGCTCTCCTCCAAGACAGGCATTGATCCCTTCCCAGGATGGTTTTCCCCATCGCCTAATAATCACCTCCTGGTAAACTCCACCCCTTAAAGGTTCTGCCATCCTCAATCTTTTACCCTGGAGACCAAGCCTCCAGTACATGAACTTCTGGGGGGACAAATCACACCCAAGCCATAGCAGGGCCCACCTAACACCTGTCAAGTCAATCACACACAGTCCTCCAGGAAGCCTCAACTCATTTGGTACTTTGAGGGAGCAGCAAATGTCTCCCCTAACACGCCAACGGCATAGCAAGCTGCAGTCGATTAGGTTGAGGGTTCCAGAAGGCCGGGGTGGGCAGAGTTCTAGCCCTCCTGTCATCCATGCTGGGAAACAGGGGCTCATCCTGAGCACAACTTTCCAGGGATCCAGGAGAAGTCCTTTCTTCCAAGATTAGGAGGTTTTATAGTCTAGGGACCATTTGGTCACAAAGTGTGGGGAAAGCAGGCAGAGTACAGGGCGTTCCATATAATTTTCAGGGCCCAGTGCAAAATGGGTGAGGGACCAGGGGGGATAGTTCCAAAGAATCAGGAAAAAGAGATACATATGATTCCCTTTATTTGAACATTATGCAATCGTTCATGTATTTAAATGTCACACAGAAATCTAGAAATGTGCATCATTTTATGAATTGATTTAAAATTTTAAAGATACTAAAATGTTGAGGGTTTTTTTTCCATTAATTTTTTTTAGTTGTAGATGGACACAATACCTTTATTTTATTTGCTTATTTGTATGTGGTGCTGAGGATCAAACCCAGTGCCTCACGCATGCTAGGCAAGTGCTCTACCACTGAGCCACAGCCACAGCCCCCTTTTAAATATTTTATTACTAATAAAACACAGTAGTGAAACTTATGCTTCAGTGGAGTAGTTCACCATTTTTCTTGTTTTTCCCACTAGGTAAATCTAAAAGCCCTGAAAAATTATAAAACAAAGATAACACTATGAACAGTGGAGAGAAAAAGGCAGACTGGAGTCCTCAGGTCCAAAGGACAATGTGTTGGTGAGTTCCCTGGACTTTCTTTTACTTTCTAAGACTTGGAACTGAAGAAGTCAACAACCCAGAAAGAGTGATGGAAGAACACCAACAAAGCAAGTTCAAAAGTCCTCCCTCTACTCAAAGGACCAGGACAAGGGAAGTCTAACAAGATATGCAATTTGGGGGCAATAATGGCTTTACTCCAACCAAACATCAGCAAAGTCCAGTAAAGAACCTTTCACACTCACCTGCCTATGAAGAGTAACTCCAACCCCCCCTTGTCTTCTTCCATTTTTCTGTTACTATAGCATGATCCCTGAGGCTGATCATGTATAAAGAAAAGAGGTTTATGTAGCTTACAATTCTGGAGGTTTAAGGTCATGGCACCAGCATGGGCTTGCTTCTGGTGAAGCCCTTATTGGATAGCACAATGACAGGAGCCCATGTGACAGGAGAGATCACATCCTAAGATAGGAAATCAAAGCACAGCTGAGGTCCCTTGAAACTACATCAACCCCTTCCAAAGGCACTCCCCAATGATCTAGAGACCTCCCACCAAGCCCCACCTCTTAAGGGTCCCAGACCTCTTAACAGCCTTACACCAAGGACCAAGTTTTCAACCCATGAGCCCTTGGAAAGCAAATTGCATTCAATCTGCAGCACCCCTCATGCATGCCGTCAGAGAAGAACAAGGGGTGGGTTGGGAATGGTATTCTTTCAGGCAGTGACAAGGCTTCCCTCCACCAATTTACCTGCTATAAAGATATTTTATTCATGTTACATCCTGGATTATAATTTTCTTTTAAAAATTATAAAATTTTTAAAATTAATATTTTTAAAAAAATTTATAAAAAAATACAAAAATTTTTTTGGTACTGGGGAGTGAACCCAGAAGTGCTTAACTACTGCGCCATATCCCCACCCTTTTTTGTATTTTATTTAGAGACAGGATCTACAAGGAAAACTTCCAGGATCTAAAAAGAAAACTTACTTAGGGGCTTTCTAAGTTTCTGAGGCTGGCTTTTAACTCATACTCCTCCTGCCTCAGCCTCCCAAGCTGCTGGGATTATAGGAGTGCACCACCATGCCTGGCTAAGAAGTTCTTGCTCTCTTACATCTCTATAAATTTATTGTGTCTTCAAAATGTATACTTTTAAAAGCTTAATTTTCAACTTACACAAAAATTTAAAATCAACAAAAAAATGTTTGCATTTAATTTTGGGAATTATCTTTTCAATTATGTAACTGGGGCTACTGAGAATATTTTATAGTCTGACAACACTGTGGTAAATTTCTTTCTTTTGCTATATGTTTTCTCTTAATTGAAAGATTATTCCAAAAAATTCAACACATACACTAATTTTAAGGGTATAGTGTTTTAAAATATATGTGCATTTTACACCACTCACATCAAGATACAGAGTATTTGTTTTACATGAATGTCATGTAATTTCTCACATAAAGTTTCTTAACTGTTACATCCTATATTGTATGTTTAGTAAACATGAAATATTTTGTTGGAGTCAGGCACAGTGGTACACACCTATAGTCCCAGCTCCCTGGAGGCTGGAACAGGAGGATTGCTTTAGCCCAGGATTTCAAGAACAACCTGGGGAGCATTATGAAACTGTCCCCCAAATGTATATTTTTTTATATTCTTCAATTCTACCTAATAAAAATGTTGCTTTTTAGTTCTGTGGACTGACTTATGATTTCCATTATTAAAAAAAACTTTTATCCTTCGTTTGATAAAAATGTGTATGTACAATTAAGTTTATTTTTTTGTTCCTGTTGTCTTGTTTGTTTTGTTTGGGGTACCAAGGATTGATCCCAGGGGTGCTTAACCACTAAACCATATCCCCAGCCCTTTTTATTTTGAGACAGGATCTTGCTAAATTGTTGAGGCTGACCTCAAACTTGTGGTCCTCTTGTTTCAGCCTCCTGAGTCACTGGGATTACAGGCATGTGATCATCATGCCAGCCTCAAGTGGGATCTTTCTAATAAGGATATTTAACCAGTTTCTGACTATGATAACACACTGTATCTCTGATGATCTATTTTGTGCTCATCTTAATGTTTCCTTGCTGTTTTTATTTTACTACATTGTTTTTGACATTTTACCTCTTATTCTCCAATCCAAAAAATTGTAATGGGTATACATTCTACTTTTGTTTGTACTTTACCTCAATGTTCAATTGACTTAGTGACCCATTATCTGATGCGATAACAGTTTTTTCAAATGTAGCACATAAAACAAGGATTTATCTGCCCCTTCACAATCAGTGATGTCGAAGTTTTCTTTTTAGACTATTATATTAACATTATGGACAAACATGCCAGTTTTTCTCCTCTATAAACAGAGGAAATAAAACGGTAACAGTTGTCTTTCAATTTTGTCAGATTAACATTGAGAATAGCTTTACTCTGCTTGTCCTGTTCAGAGTGGCAAAGTCTTTTCATTTTATTTTTGTTTAGCTTAGGAGCAAACAATACTACATGCTAAAATTATATATAACCAATATACATATCTATTGGTATTTTGATGTTTAATCTCAAATCTACTGTAAAATGTGAAGATTGTGCAAGACACCAAAAATGGTTTCATAATTTGTATGTAATTTTAAACACTATTTGCAAGCCAAGCACTGGGGTGCACATACCCATAGTCCCAGCTATTTGGAAAGCTGAGGAATGAGGATTGTTTGAGCCCAAGAATTCAGGCTAACCTGGGCAACATAGTGACACCAGCTCTGGGAGACCAACCTTGTAAGTGACTGAGTCACACTCCCCAGCTGGGTCACAGAAATGTGGCAGAGCTTTTCCCACCCTTCTTGGGTCTGAGGGTAGGTGTCTCGTGCATGGGGGTGTCTTGCTACAGCCCCATGGGTGAAGCTATGCTCACCTGTTCCTTTGTAATATAACCCCTTGCCCTGTTTAGGGTAGAATCTTCCATGGAAGTGCCTTGTGTGTGTCCCCTTCTCTTACTGTGCCCTTGGGTGTGGCCTACCCAGGTGTCAGTCAACCTGCTGACAGTGGACATCATGAAGATAGACTCAGCCCCCTGAAACCTGACCCCTTGCCTCATTTGAATAGCTTCTCCTCAATAAAAGAGGTCAGCGCGTGCTCTTGCTCTCTCTCTTTTCCTGCAGACCCTTAAGGTCAGAGGAGCCGCCACAGTGACCTCAGAGAAAAAGGTATTTGTGTCTCTTGTGTGGTTATTTCATGCAGCCCAGTTAGCCCAGTTTAACTGGAGTGACCCCTGAGCCTTTTAGTCATGAGAACAGAAACCCGGCAGCCAACCCTGTCTCAAAAAAAAAAAAAAAAACATTATTTACTTCATATTCATGAAAATACTTTCTGTATTTTCAATTACAATGAACATTTCATTTTAAAATTGTCTTCCTTATCAATAATAATGAAACCAGAGTTTCTCTGCTTCTTCTGGCAGGTGGCATCTGCACAAGCTGCAGACTTCTGCAGCTGAGAAGTGTTGGAGGTCTTAATGACAGGCTGTGCCCTCCAATATTGCAGCAGACCCCAGCAGCTCACCATCCATTTTTTCTTCTTTCTGAGTTCTCGTCTTGTGAATTCAAAGAGTGAAATCCACAGATTATGATGAGTGAGTGTGAGTAGGACTTATTGAAAAACAGGAACAGAAGTCCTACAGGGAAAGAGAAGACCCAAGAGGAGTTTCCATTTGAGTGTGCTAGTTTAGGGATTTATATAGCAGTTGGGTCAATGCTATGGCTCCAAATTATGCTAATCAAGGTTTGGAAAAGTATAATGCTATTGGTCCAAAATTATGCTAATTAGGTTTTGGAAAAGGACCAAATGCTATTGATTAGCCCTACAATCCCATTCATTCTGCGCTACTTCTGTTTTCCTGCTTCTCCTCGGGAAGCTGGAGCTTGCAGTCAGTGGTTGGGCACGCTTAGGAGTTCTGGAGCTGCAACACTGCATGGAGTGGGTTCCTGCATCAGGTGTCCTCACTGGTCAGTGTGCCTTGGCTCACTTCAATACTGGCCTGCAGGGTCTTAGGCCTGTGTTGGCATGGTGACCTCCATGTGATCACAGCCCATGCTCCAGCACCCCTGAGCTGCTGCTCTGCTGACCCACCACTCCTCCACTCTTCTGCTCCTTCTCAGCAGAGACCAGTGGGCTGGCCTCATAGCTTGGTGACTTGAAAGCCATGTCATTCCCTACCTCTGAAAAAGTGTTCATAACTTTTTTCTAACTGGGAGAAAGGGCGATGACCACTCTGGCTGCTTCAAGTGAAAAGAGGTGTTGACAGGGGACATCAGATAGGGCCATCTTACAGAGGCATATCTAAGGGCCCCCAGTAGATTGGGAGCTTAGATTTAGATTCTACTTGTAAAGCTATTGGTAGCTTGGGCATCTGGCCCTTCAGGGCATTCCAGAGGTCCATGGTGGCAGTTGGCAGATAACCAGATGGGGCATTCATAGGGAAGACATCATATTAGACAGCAATAAGGGCTGGGGCTGTAGCTCAGTGGCAGGGCACTTGTGTAGCATGTGTGAGGCCCTGTGTTCAATCCTCATCACCACATATAAATAAATAAGTAGAATAAAGGTATTGTGGGGAAAAATCTTTTTTTAAAAAGAGCAATAAGCAAGAAAGTAACATGTTTTCAGTAAAGAACTAGCACACAAGCAATTTTTTAGCCAGTCCCAGAAAACCATGAAGTTGGGTAGCTTATTAAAGTTAAGGTGGGGTCTACCATGTGACTGATTTATGAGTGGAGGCCATTTAAGACTTTAGAAACACTAGCAGAGTTGTTAGAATTATATACACACCATTTAGTTTCTATAATGTCTTAGCTATCCTCTGGAGCTATAGTAAAGATATCTAATGCCATCTGATTTTTGTAAAACAGCTTTTTCATTAGTGTTACCTGTGTGGTAGAGGGATCTCCTTTAGCTGCATCATTAGGGCTTCCTTGGAAAAGTAGGTTAGGGTCTCCATGTGTCATATTACATCTTTCACAGGAATTCTTGTTGGGGCTAAATAATCATATCAGTGAAAACAAGACTGAGTTTACCTAGATAGGAGATTAGAAAGATTTGTAGGTCTTGAGTTGACTAGTTGACTTAGAAGAAACTGGTGACTGGCAGAGCCTTTCATGATAATTATCATGCATTCCTGAATAAGGACCCCTTTATAACTTCCAAATTTTGCTTGCTTTTTTGAGAATTGACACAAGTGTATGTCTAAAGTTAACAAAAAATTGACTGTTTTCTATGACTGGCTTAGGCTATATTATCCTGCCAGTTACCTGAGATTCCTCAGAGATCACTCTTGGGTACCTGTGAAAAGCCTATTGGCTCCTTCAGCTTTCTTCTATAAGCTGTACCATCTGCCAGGATGGGTGAGAGTCTGCTGACCATATGTGGCTTCCCTTGGATGCACCAGGGATCCTTCTCTTTCCAATGAACCTCCAATTTGCAGAATGTGCCCTGGTTGGCTTCCTATTTTCTAGGGTTCTCTTGAACCTCCTGATGGCCAGATTGGTAACTCAGAGCTGCAGGGCCCTTAGGTCCCATCATTTCCCAAGTTCTGGATGATCTTAGAGGTCAAAGGCCAAAATATTGGCTTTTTTTCTTTAGCCTTTTACTGCCTAGATTTTGGTCTCCAAGTTTGGGTTTTAAACATCCAGTGGGGAAGTTTCACCTTCCTTAAATTGGGAGTAGTGAGTTTTGACTTTTGGTACTGGAAGTCAGCATTTGGTACTGGAAGAGAGACAGGCATCCCTCTGTCTCCTGTAGGTGATGGTGTATTGCCTAAACTCAGATAGTTTTCTTAGAAGTAGTATTTCTGCAAAACACTAACAGGTAACAGTTATAGAGTTACTCAAAGCAACCAGATATAAGCCAGATTTTAAAATGGCAGTGCATAAAAAACAGTACTTGCTGGTTACCTTTCCTGATTTAGACCTATATAAGCTCTAATTTTACAAGCTTCACATAGAACTTAAACAAAACTCAACCATTTAGTTCTCAGATGTATACATATATCTAGTCACATATATCTAAGGGTCAACTATATTGTAATAACCTAAAATAACTGTTGCTTATTTAATCACTTATAGAGTAATTATTTAAAAGACCTTAAAATAGGTGTAAATCTTCCTTCTTTTAAGATTTAGGATTTTTCTAATAAAACCTCACAGACATGAGAAGTTATCTTAATAAACATTGCATGTCTCTTTTAACACACATTTACTTAGAAAGGTTTCATTAAGAATCATGGAGGGATAAGGAGAGGGAGCATGGGAGGAATAGACAAATTCTAAATAGGGCAGAGGGGTTGTGGGGAAAGGAGGGGGCATGGGATTAGAAATGATGGTGGAATGTGATGACCATTATTTTCCAAAGTACATGTATGAAGACACGAATTGGTGTGAATATACATTGTATACAACCAAAGATATGAAAAATTGTGCTCTATATGTGTAATAAGATTTGTAATGCATTCCACTGTCATATATAAATAAAAATAATAAATAAAAAAGAAGTGTGTGTTATCCATGAAAACCAAGATATCAGACAAGCCTACTTACTTCTGCCAAAGAAAAATCCTTTAAAAAATGGACATTTTACTTTAAACATTTTGTAGAAACAAACTTTCTTGATTGACTGACCACCTAGAAAAACATGTAGGTTAGTCATTTCAAAGATATCTTTACTTTTGCCAAATTAAATTGATCTTTTGGTCAAAGTTTTACATAAACTAAAAGGCATTTGGATCCACTTTTCTTAATTTATGAGCATTTGTGTATCTGTAAAC